CTATGTGAAAAGGAACTAAAAAAGTGTTTACTTATATAAAAATAATATACATGTTTATTTTTCATATTATGTGACATAAATACAATTTTAATTTTTATCCATGCTGTATAGTGTATGTCACTGTAATATTGTTGGCAGAATTTTGCATCACATTTATACAGTACTATTTTTAAAAATTAATGACAGATATTTTTCAGAGCGTAAGATAGAGAACATTAACTTATTTTTGTTTATTTTATATTTTTAGCTTTTTAAAATTTTTGCAAATAACTTTTTACACTGCTCCCTAATATTACCAGACCTTTTCCCAATAGGAGGAAAACAGTGTGTGTTCCGTATTCATCTATACTTCATTCGTATTACTGAAGCTCATCATACATTTGAAAAACTTCACTGAGAACCATGAATGCTTCAGAGCACGGGTAATATATGATTTCTATCATTATAAATATCTTTAATGAATAATATTAATTAGTAATGACAATCTTTTCATATAATGAAGAGATATTAAGAAAGTATTAAATGTTAACATTTGTTAATCTTCTGTACTTTTTTCTAATGCTACACTAATTTTAGTGAAGTTATTGTTGTTAAATTTTAATTGTAGAAACAATTTGTTATTGCAATAATGAAAAGTATGTTATTTATTATTAATTTGTATAATATTACTTAAAAATGTATTATTTATTCAAAACAAGTAAGAACAGTTGTAATCAAATCATGGGTGTCATTGCACAACAAACAAAATGGTATGTAAATAGTTTGTGCGTATAAAATAGCATGGGTGTGTACATTGCAGGTTTAACCCAGCCTTTAACATGGCCTCCATAAAACAAGCATTTAATGAGGCAGTAGAAAGAGGTAAGTGTAACGTTTATGTAATAAATCCTTAATAAATATATTTATTGGTTCTTATATTATTTTGGACTTTCATACTTATTGTTTATTATTGTTGCCTTTATTTAAAGACAAAATAAAGGTTTATAAAATTTATTGCTATATTGTGTGCTTAATATTTAAAAATTAAAAAGGTATAATTATATTAGATGGATATAAGATATAATTATATAAACATAAAATTAAAAAGATATGATGTTAAATTCATAGAATGCATTATAATACTAATATTTTTCCATTACACTCTGTATGTAGATTTAAGTATTATTTCATATCATGTCACATTTGCATTTGTCACAAAAATAATTTCTACAGTGGTCATTCATAGCTTGAGCATGTAACTCATTAAATCCTACTAACACTAAAATTTATAACACATGTGTAATTTAAAAGTCTCAACAGTTAGAATGCCTGCACCAACACGGTTGAGGGATCTCATCAGACAAATAAGAGCTGCTAGAACTGCAGCAGAAGAGAGAACAGTTGTTAACAAAGAATGTGCTTACATTCGTTCAACATTTAGAGAAGAAGATAGTGTATGGAGATGTCGTAATATTGCAAAACTTTTATATATTCATATGCTTGGGTTTGTATTAAATTTTTTTGTTAGATTCAATAATATGTTTTCAATATATAATTTTCATTAATCTTTTCAGATATCCAGCTCACTTTGGCCAATTAGAATGTTTAAAACTTATTGCATCTCCAAGGTTTACAGATAAACGAATTGGTTACTTGGGTGCAATGTTATTGCTAGATGAACGACAAGATGTTCACCTTCTAATTACAAATTGTTTAAAGAAGTAAATTTCATATAAAATTATTTTTAGTACTTATTTAAAGTATGTGCAGGTATAATGATCTAATATTTTACTCACAGTGATTTAAATAGCTCCACACAATTTGTTATTGGTTTGGCATTATGCACTTTAGGTGCAATTGCATCACCAGAAATGGCAAGAGACTTGGCATCTGAGGTTGATAGGTTAATGAAATCACCAAATGCATATATCCGGAAAAAAGCAGCTCTTTGTGCATTTAGAATTATTAGACGTGTACCAGAATTGATGGAAATGTTTTTACCTGCTACACGTAGTTTGATTACAGAAAAGAATCATGGTGTGTTAATTACAGGTGTTACCCTTATCACAGAAATGTGTGAAAACAGTGTTGATACATTGAATTACTTTAAAAAGGTACGTTTTCCATGTTTTAATAAAGGTCACAAATAATATATAAAAATTAGTAAAATACTTAGATGTTTAAATTAGTATTACAAACACTTTGTCATTGCATCAAAGAAGACTGTATATATTTTTTTTCTCTTTAACACAATTTAAGTTCTTGTAACGTTGTCATTTCTAGTCTACTAGTTAAATAGCTGCAAGCTAGATTGTAATAGCATTAACAACTAATCAGAGCATTAAATTCATAGGATTAGTAAAAATTTCTTCATGTTACATAAACTGAACTTACTGTAAAAAAGTTCAGGAAAGGAATGTAGTCTGTCATTTTATATAAATATGATTGATAACAATAATATGACAAATAAGTAGAATTAAATAATATTTAGCATTAATAAAAAAATATTTCTATATGCATTCAATATTAAAAAATGTTAAATAATTTGAATAAGTGCAATTTTTATTATATCTTTTGCTCACAATGATATTCATAATATAAGTATGGTTTTATCTTTCTTAGGAATGCGGCCATCGAGAGGTAAAATGCATACGAGCATCTTTTATATTTTTGCATGTTATGCTTATTACGGACTTCATTCTTTTCTTTTATTTTATGTAATCTTTTTATTGCAAATATTTAATTGTTCACATAAATTGTTTCTTTAATATGTGTAAAATACAAAAACATATGCATGCATTTTAAAAATACAGTATAATAAGAAGCACTTAGTCAAAACGTATTTTTATTACAGTTATTTCTATGTAATAAATGTGTTATTAATATCAGTCAAATTTTTAGGAACAATTTAAACTTCTAAAATAAATTTTAGGTACTATTCTATAAATTGTTGGTTAAATAATACATTGATAACATATTATATATTTTTTTAATGTATAGTTTCTTGTCTATGTTTTTTATAGCTCTGTGTATATGTGTGGTTAAAATTGTGTGTGTGTAAAGTTGTATATGTGTATTAAGATGTAGTTGTTTGTGCATAAATAATGTGATATAATTAACTTACTTTTTGATCTTGGTTAGCAGCTTATTCCTGTTTCTTAAA